TTTGATGGTCATAGCTTGAAAGGCCTAGGACGAGATACAGTTTAATTTTTAGTCTCAGAAGAAGAATAATAATAATATTAAGTTTAATAGGATAACAGTAGTCTGGCTTGCTACACAAGCCAGCCTAATAATAAGTTTAATAGGATAACAGTAGTCTGGCTTGCTACACAAGCCAGCCTAACTAGATTCTTAAAGTTTGAGAACAAACTTTGAGGCTGGCTTGTGAAAGCCTGACGGTAATAGTTTATTTAGTTTAAACAGTTTTAAAAAGTATGAAAAGATAGATAGATAGATAGATAGATAGATAGATAGATAGATAGATAGATAGATAGATAGATAGATAGATAGATAGATAGATGGATAGATAGATGGATAGATGGATGGATGGATGGATGGATGGATGGATGGTATGCTAGCATGAGTCAAACAAGCCAACCCCCGCTTCTCTACGATGTTCTGATACTGAAATATAGCTGCTGTTATATCGTTGCTGGTTAGTCTGTTTTGTTGCTATGGAGTGGATTGACAGCTTAGACTGATGATGTATCAAAGCTTCTTGCCAGTATGAACAGTTAAAAGCAACACCCATGTCTCTATCACACTGCAGCATGACGATATCAATCTGAACCTCTTTAATGGCAGTCTATGGGACCATTGCTAGGGTGCCGTATCTGGTTGTTAGGGGTGTGGCTAGAAAGTTAAAAGCTCATCAGTTGTTGGTAGTTTGGTAGTCTGAGTTAAATGAGCCCAGTTAGAAGTCTGTGCGACAGTCTGATGTAGAGTTATGAGCTCACAAAGTTTGACCCAATGTAAAGTCAATGAGAGTCTTTTGCAGTGGAAGTCTATGGGACAGTTTCTAGGGTCCCAAAAGTGGTTGCTAGGGCGTGGCCAGAAAGTTAAAAGCTCATCAGTTATTGGCAGTTAGATAGTCTGAGTTAAATGAGCCCAGTTAGAAGCCTGTAGGACAGTCTGATGCAGACTTATGAGGTCACAAAGTTTGGTCCAATGTTAAGTCAATGGGATTTTTCAGACGGTCCCGGGACGTTTTTCGGAAAACCAAAAGTCGGATCAGTCGGAAAAGATATAGCAACCCGAGTCAGAACAGTTTGGAGGTCTGGTGTGAGTTTGGTGGTCATAGCTTGAAAGCTCTAGGAGGAGATGGAGTTTAATTTTTAGTCTCAGAAGAAAAATAGGATAACAATAGTCTGGCTTGCTACACAAGCCAGCCTAATAATAATAATAATAATAATAAGTTTAATAGGATAACAGTAGTCTGGCTTGCTACACAAGCCAGCCTAATAAGTTTAATAGGATAACAGTAGTCTGGCTTGCTACACAAGCCAGCCTAATAACTACTATTATTATTATTTAAACAAATAACTACTATTATTAATGCTTTGAATTTATAAATTAGCATCAACCAGTCATAAAATGATCCTGTCTGACTCTCAGTTATTTATTAAAATAAAATCTTCAGAATTAAATTCAGTATTTAGTGAAGTTTACTTTTATGAAAATTGTCAAAATGCCTTAAAATGTTTAATGTCCTTGTTCAATGTGCGCATTTGTTTTTATTCTGTGAATGTGAAGTGAAAAATTACAGATATTGTTATGCATGAATGTGTGTGCGTACTGGTTTTGGTGGCTTAAACGAACATGCATTGTATATATAAGTGTATAATAATTGTACTGCATTACAGTGGTTTAGGAGGACATGCCTTGTGTCTTTGTAATTCATAATGCTTCAAAATCCTACTTAATGTGTTTTGACATACAAATCAGGGTTTCTGCAGGTCAAATTTAAGACTTACCAGCAGACTGTTATAATATTAGTTAGAAACAGAGTTTTGCTAAGAGTTTTATTGAGATTTATTGTTGGTGATTGGATATGTGTTGGGCGACTTTACATAAACAAGTACCAATTAAAATGACTTAAGACTTACAAGACAATATTTCAGTATATTTACGACTTTTAAAAGGCTTAAAATTTAAGACTAAGTCCTCGCAGAAAACCTGCAAAATTTGCTTGGGTTGGGTTTATGGGTAGGGCCATAAAACATGTTTTTTCCATATACGTTATATTACGCCTATGGAGAGTGCCTGTAAGCCATTAATGCCAACATGCCCCTGTGTTTGTTTGTGTACCTCTCTAGCGAGGGCCAGGAAGTTGCTGTTGAGCTGCACGTTGGACATGATCTCTGTCAGATCCTCATAATCCTCCACGTCTTCATTGAGCTCCAGGAACATGCCATGGCGACCCAACATGAACGCCATCTGCTTCTGGATCACACTGAACACACACACAAACACGTTTGTGAGAGCGAGTGAAGACTATGAATTTGAGGCGAACTGTAGCACTGACTTCAGAAAGTGTGTGAAGAAAATTTAGTATGTTTGAAGACAGACAGACAGACAAAAAAAAAAAAAAAAAAAAAAAAAAATATATATATATATATATATATATATATATATATATATATATATATTTTTTTTTTTTTTTTTTTTTTTTTTTGTCTGTGTGTCTGTCTTCAAACATACAAAATTTTCTTCACACACTTTCTGAAGTGAGTGCTACAGTTCGCCTCAAATTCATAGTCTTCACGCGCTCTCACAAACGTGTTTGTGTGTGTGTGCGGG